GGCAGAACAAGGCTCAGAACTAGGGTTTGGTTCCTGACACCCCCTGTGGGAACAGACATCCCCGTAGTGACAGACCCTCCCACTTGGGCCACCCTGGAAGTAACTTCTTTGAGAGCTGGGGGTGCCGGCCTTGGGGGCACTAGGGGCCTAACTCAGGATTTCCTTTCCCAACCATAAGCATGACGGCCACCCAGTCAGGGCTTGGGAGCCAGTCCCTGGAGTCCCACAGTCAGCACACCTGCCACGGCCATGTCTCCACTTCTCTCCTGAGGCGGCAGAGCCCCAGGGCAGGGCCAGCCGCTTGAGAAATAAATTAAGGCAACAGGGACCTGGGAATCTGTGACTCAGGGCACCTCCCAGCAGCAGTGGGCGAAGAAGGCTGGACGTGGGCCAAACTTGGGCACACGAAGGAGGCGGGAGGAAGGCTATGGCTAGTCTCTCTCTGCCACATGCTAGGAATGTGGCCTTGGGCAAGTCTCGGCCCTGTTAGATGCCCAATTTCCTCTACTGTCACACGGGGGTGGCTGTGACGTTCGTTGACATTTTGCCACACACACGTCACATGCAGGCCTCAGTGCCTGCTGCCCCTCTGCTCGTTCTGAAGCCCAAACACGCTAAATTAGTACTGTGGATGGAGAAACTGAGGCCCACCACACAGTGCAGCAGAGGGGCAGGGGGCGGAGACTTTGGGTGGGGTCCCCAGAGGGTGAAAGAGAGACTCATTAACAACAGCTCAACCAAAGGGTGAGCGGTTGAAGCACCTTAGGAAGCTCCCCAACACTGGTCGAAAGGGTGGGGCCTGCTGGGGACCCAATCAGGGACAGGGATTTGGACCACCACGCACCCCCCCACGTACCCCTCCCACCCCAGCTGAGGGCTCCCTTCTTTTCCAGCAGAGAGGCGGAGCAGCTTAGCGAGAGGGTCCACGGAGTGGTGGGGGTGGGGGCAGTGTACTGTGGGTGAGGAGGACCAGAGACGTGAGACACCAGGGTCAGCTCAGGTCAAGGTGAGGCAGGCTGGAGAGTGAACCAGGGCACTAGAAAGCGTGAGCCGGTTCTGAGCAGTGCGGCACAGCGGCGGGTCCAGGGAAGGCCGTCGGTCGCCATCGGGGCCGAGCGTCGGGGGTGCACAGGCTCCCCGACCACAGCGCCCACAGAGGGAGCTCGGCAGGGAATGCGGCAGCCGGCGGAGGAGCGGCCCTGGGACGCACGCTGCGCTAGCCCCCCGCGTCTCAGCAAGGGGCTGCCTTCGCAGGGGAAGCGCGAGGGTCCGGAGCTCTGCCGCAGCCCCCCACTGACCCAGCCCCCTCTCTCTCCGTCCCCTGGCAGATCGCGCACTGCTGCAGGGCGCCCCGGACGCGGTGGAGCTGAGCGAGCTGACGCCCTGGGTCGCAAGGGCCCCGCGTCCGCGCCGTCGGGCGGGGTCCCGGCGGCGGCGCGCGCGTGCGCGGTCAGGGGCGCGGCCGTGCGGGCTGCGCGAGCTGGAAGTGCGCGTGAGCGAGCTGGGCTTGGGCTACGCGTCCGACGAGACGGTGCTGTTCCGCTACTGCGCAGGCGCCTGCGAGGCGGCGGCGCGCGTCTACGACCTGGGGCTGCGGCGGCTGCGCCAGCGGCGGCGCGTTCGGCGGGAGCGGGTGCGCGCGCAGCCCTGCTGCCGCCCGACGGCCTACGAGGACGAGGTGTCGTTCCTGGACGCGCACAGCCGCTACCACACGGTGCACGAGCTGTCGGCGCGCGAGTGTGCCTGCGTCTGACCCTACCTCACCAGGCCCGGCGCGACGGCGCCCCCCGTCCCGCCTGGCGGGCCCCGCGACCACGGACTGCCCCTGCGCAGAGGGCGCTGTCGAGGCCTCAGGACTGTCCGATACCCGCACCAGATAAAGTGTGGAAAATGGAGCCTGGGTCGTGATTCCGCGTTCCGGGGGTGCCCACGTCTCCGAGGGACCTGAGAGGGTGGGGTGGGGGGAGCAGGCGGCAGCTGCACCTTGAAGAGGGGGGCGGGGCGCTCCCCCTGCTGGATGGCGGGAGGGTCAAGGTGGGCTCTGGGGGAGCGGAAGAAGACGCCCAGAGGCTCCTCTTCCCGTGGACCAGAACGGAGAGTGGGGCGCGTGGGGGCGACGTCGGCAGGGACCGTCCTTCCCACCGGCCTGCGGGTCCCCGTGACCCTCCCCCGATGTGTCCCTCGTCCGCCGCCTCCTCCCTGCCAGGCGAGCCAGTGGGTGGGAGGAGAGAGCCAAAGGCAGGTGAGGAGTCTGAGGTCCAGGTGGACCCGGCCTCCCTCCGCTAAAGGACCTCGCGGGCCCGTCAGCCCCCACGGAGGGAACAGAGAGCACTATCTCCTTTCACTGGCTAAAAATACATGCGCGGTGCCCATCTCCCTGTGGGGATAGGTCTGGGGCGGGCGCCAACCCTGTCCAGCCCGAATCCGGCGCCTGCTGGGCCAGAGCGGGTCCCCCGGGGACATAGGTCCTGGGCCCATAAAAGCCCTGGCTGGAGCTCCCGGCGGGATTTACAACACGTCCCCTTGGAGGACAGAAAAAGCCTGGCGCGGTGGTTAGCTCTGCCCTGGTGACACCTTGATGCACGTCAGGCCCAGGACAGCCCAGTGTGCTGGGTTCCCAGAAGGTGGGGAGGGGCTGGGGCAGCACGGTTGCAGGAGGGGAGGGCAGGGGGCAGGTGCTGGGCCCTTGGCTGACACCCTGGAAACCACAGGGTGTGGACCATCCCTCCTGCACCTGGTTCTGGAGGGAGAACCCCCCTCCCCACCCCAGACAGCTTTCCTGAGGATGCGGGGCCCTCTCCCCCTCCCTCGCCCCCAGCCCCACCGTGGCTCCCTAGGGAGCACCCCTCCCTCCTTCACCATTCC